AAGTTTTGGTGGCCCCGGGCCACCGGGCCACCGCTAGTGTCGAGCCTTGCATTACGTTACATCACAGACACATACAAACGCACGCGGTTACATTGTTTTTCCATCTTTCAACCCTTGCATTCTACACATTTCTCTTTACTGAACATTGAATAATTACTATCTATATTATGCTGCTATGATAATTATGTTGTCCTATAAGAAATCATTGCACTACCACTGTATTCATTTGTAGCATTTGTTCATCTTCGTCTACCCCAATAACATGTTCTTTGGCTAATGACATTCCCATAACAGGTTTTCCTTGCAATTTTATGGTTAACGCAAATTATAATGTGCCAATTCATGATAGCCTCACATGGGCTATGTTATGTTACAGGTACTGTATGACATACCATGTCAGTGTTATAATCATCACCTCTACCTCTCATGGCACAGGCACTTGGAGCGTTACAATAAAATATAATGCTAAATAAACACGAAATGTATTTACTACCAAAGTCTCAATGTTCCTCTACTCTTTTTTGCCTATTATTGTCGACAATTTCCTGTAAATGCCGTTCACATGCCCCTCTGCAACACACAGGTACACCGCACGTACGCACGCCCGTACACTTATATATATAGTGTAACACTTATATATATATTATATATATATGTATATATATACTATATATATATGTGTGAACGTGTGGCGGCATGTGTGCGGTGTACCTGTGTGTTACAGAGGAGCATTTGAATGGTATTTACAGGAAATTGTCGGCAATAATAGGCGAAAGAGAGTACATGAAAGAAAACATTAAGACTTTGGTAGTAAATACATTTCGTGTTTATTTAGCATTATATTAAAAAACGCTCCAAGTGCCTGTGTCTCAGGGTCTGTGTTACGTTACAGGTATTGTGTGACATACCACGTCTGTTCCGCAGCTGAGGCAGTCCAAGAATCCATCATCGACCGTGTCCTGGTCACAGCTGGTGAGAGAGCAGTTCCCCAGTGGCTGGTCATCAAGGGCGCCACTACCAACCTGAAACTGATCACGGCTCACGATGAATCTACAGCTTGCCGTAAACAACATCTCTCTACAAGTGACATCATTCTATTAAAGTGATTACGTCACCGTAAATAATAAAATTTAATTTTTTTTTCTACTTTTTCACAAAATACAAGTAATTCTGTTCACTTTTTATGGTTAAATTGCTGCATTATACTTCCTGTTTTACTATATTGTTTGATGTGAACATACACTCGTGACTCATACATAGCCCATAGCAAGCAATTAATGTTGGGAACATTAATATCAAATCGTCCAGGTTTTTTGGATTTTGAACTAGTTGAGAAACAATCTTATCAAGTAAGAATTTGACAATACTTTTAGTCCCGTTAGTTCTTACTTTTAATGTAAAAAATAGCAATTTTCTTTTTACAAATTTTACCATAGAAAATTCGTGACGTAGTCAATTTAAAGACACCTGTCTATGAACACACTTGTTGATAAGGAACACGTGTTAACAAAAAACACTACTCTATCAGGGATACCTATCTATAAGAGATACCTCTCCATAAGGTGCACCTCTCAATAAATGACACCTTGAAGTTGTCTTGGGTGAACATTATACATAGGTTTGACTGTAGTTGTAGCGAGATATGTCCCTGGCTACACACTCACGCACGCACGCGCGCACGCAAGCACTCACACACACACGCGCGCACGCACGCACGCACACACGCAAGTACTCACGCATGCACGCACGCACGCACGCACGCACGCACACGCACGCACACACACACACACACACGTGCACGCACTCACACATCATACCGTACAACACTGCACTGCACAACATTGCAAATGTAGACAGGCTACTACGATCCTCTATATAACCAGCACGCGACACCCACCATGACTGATGGAGCAGAGATGGCTCGCTCCTTGCGCTCAGGAGAGGGCGCACTCATGTTGGCGTCGTCCGGATGGAAGAGTACGCTGTGACCCGGCGCATGTCGATGCAACGCCACGGCCGACTCATTCTCCTGCAAGACACAACACAAGTGCATGGTCAGCCGAAAGCACAGCCTTAAAATGTATGTACATAGCCATGAATGCAATCATGTATGTATAGCCATGTATGTATAACGACATGTGTATGTGTGTGTCTGTGTGTGACACCCCTGCCCCACCCCACCCCCACGCACGCTCACATTTAGCCCCACCCCACCCCCACGCACGTTCACCTTTAGCTCCGTTCCGAGCCCGCTGTCTTGTGAGTCTGTGTCCATGTGCTCGGCACTGACAGCAGGAGTCGTCGCCATTGGCGCGGTCGCCATCGTCAGGTCGAGCTGGCGCTTCGGCGAGCGGAGTGGCTGACCTTTGACCCCAGCAGCGCATTGCGGTCTTGGATTGGTGGTGGTCGAGTTCTCCTTGCCTGGCCGCAGCGTTAGGTTCCTAGCGGACTCAAGCTGTAAACAACGTGGGCATGGATCACGTATACCGACACCCCCAACCCGCACCAATCACATTGCTTCACAACAAACTTTGCTTGCATTATAATCAAGCTGTTTCGAGCGAGATGACCAGATGGCCACTCTTAAATGCTGCTAGGTGTATCAGGGTATAGACTTGATTTGTATACGTTTTTCATGACATTGTGCACATGGCAAATTTCAGACGTTGCTGCACTTCGTTAAAAAGCAGCATTTTTAGAACCTTTATCACAATGCAGATTAGATAGAGCTACCTGTCAATCATGCTAGGTAGATTGACAAGTTACATATTAGGCATGAGATTTTAAGGATGGTTATTCTGATGTTAAGGATGGACTAACATACCCGTGGCAACTAAATGTGGTTACCACCTTCAGATGTGACATAAAGGCCTACGTACTAACCACAATAAACACTGTACCATAACCTTGCCGATTTTTTTCTCAATCAAGATTTATGCTCAATGGCGATTACTGTTTGAGCTGCACTGCAATCCAGACACCGCCTATTCAGTATACTCTCGAATAAAATAGAAAAGACTGAAAAAGGTTGAAAAAAACTCTCTACAGACGTAAGTTGGCGATGGCAAGCGTACCGGTAGTGAATTCAAGCGCCTAAGTGGTGCCCGTGCGCATCGCTGCCCTCCTCTGATGCTTCGATTATTCTCCGGAAACTGAAAACTTCTGCAAGACAAGCGAATATCACTGTCAGAGCGAGGGCATTAAACCACGGTTACACTAGATTCACCCCACCAAACCCACCCCACTGCACACACTCACTCTCAACGTGGCTAAACCGCAGTTAGGCTAAAAGCATCTAGACTAGAAAATACCGCAGAAAGTGAAGGGAAACAATGATAAGCCCAACGGCACAATGCGGCCACCCAGCCAGATTACAATCACGTTTTCACCTCGGTTGCGCGAATTTACAAAGATTGCAACAAATCGAAATCAAACGCTGCGACACATTAACACCTTTTGTTTAGATGCAAGCAAACTGAGAGTGAAAATGAAAAATATTACTAGCGTTAGGGTGAGATAGTTGGTGGGGTGGGGTTGAATCAGGTAGGTGTGGGGTAGGAAGTGGGGTGTACGGAGAGTAAGGTATGTGGGGGGAATAAGGGTAGGTTATTGGGTAGGTATATGGTAGTGAATACAGTCTGGTGTAGGGTACGTATAGGGTACGAATGGGGGGGGGGAACAATAGTGTAGGGTATGGCATAGTTTAAACGGGCGCGGGTGGCATTATTACAACTGAGGTCAAAGTTCAGACGCTTGCAGCTGCCGCCCAGCGAAAACTGCATCAATCATCCTCCCATATGCGTGCGTACACGTGCAGCCACGCTATCAGCCTCACACATAGGCTTGCTTAGCTGCTCACGCGGGAAATTACCTGCGCCCACACAATGCAGGGTCTGTTCCCCCGCTGTCCCCCGCACATACAGAGACAGCACGTGCCAATGCCCCCGCGGGCTGGCTGTGTGGATAACACGTAGGTGCTGAGCCGTTACTGAAGGCTTCCTAATAGATGGCACGACGTAGCAACGGGCAACCCCCAGCCGCACCATCCCCTCCCCCTGTCCTGACACTCAGTCTCTATGCTGTTACACAGACTGTATAAACAGCCTCATCACCCCTTCCCCCTGTCCTGACACTCTATGCTGTTACACAGACTATATAACCAGCCGCAGCATCCCCTACCCCTGTCCTGACACTCTATGCTGTTACACAGACCGTATAATCAGCCTCACCATCCTCTTCTCCTAATAACCATACTCCTACCTAGACTATATGTACATTATGCAGCCTTCTCCTCATTCTCTTCTTCTGACCTAATGTATATATATCCCTATATTTGCTCGTGGCGCACTTACTGCAAGCTAAACCAGCGACCACAAGTTCTCCGTATTTGAATTTTAAAACCTATAGGTCAGTTTTAATCAAAGGAAATTCGTGAAAATACTCTGCAGGAAAATAGAGCGGGGATTTGATATCTCTAAAACCCCCAGAAGGATTGACACGGTGAGTCCGGGACGAGAGACAGATTTTCACAAACAGAACCGTTGCTCGAATTGATTTTTTTCTGGCATAGTAGTTTGATATCAAACACTCGCATGTCAAATTATGCCAGCACAGATCTCTACGTATCGGTTTGTCACTTCACGCTCCGGGAGTCACGGTCACCAAGTGCAAACCTCGACTGTACGAGGAAGAGGAAGGGATGAAGAGAAGAGGAGAAGAGAAAGAGAATGGACGAGATGATGGGCGTAAGGGGACAAGACGAGGAGTGTATGAGGATGAGTGTGGAAGGAGGAGTGTATGAGGATGAGCGTGGAAGGAGGAGTGTATGAGGATGAGTGTGGAAGGAGGAGTGTATGAGGATGAGTGTGGAAGGAGGAGTGTATGAGGATGAGTGTGGAAGGAGGAGTGTATGAGGATGAGCGTGGAAGGAGGAGGGTAAGTCGTTAAATGAGGAGAGCGTGGAAGGAGATTGGATTGAGGATTGATCGTGGAAGGAAGACGTATGATAAAAAGAGGAGGAGCGTGGATAAGGAGAGTGTATGAGGAGAGATGGAAGGAAGAGTGGATGAAGATGAGCGCGAAGGAAGAGTGTATGAGGCATGGAGCGTGGAAGCAGACGAGTGTAATTAGGATGAAGTGTGAAGGAGGAGTGTAGGAAGGATCGAATTGTGAAGGATGGAGTGTATGCAGATGAGTGTGGAAGGACACAGGAGTGTATGGAAGGGAGCGGAAGAGGAGTTGTATGAGATGATTCGTAAGGAAGGAGAAGTGTATGAGGATGAGTGTGGAAGGAGGAGTGTATGAGAATGAGGCGGGAAAGGAGGAAGAGTGTAATGAGGATCGAGTGTGAGAGAGGAGTGTAAATTGAGGATGAGCGTGGAGAGACGTAGTGATGACGATGAGTGTGGACAAAGAGAATGTCATGAGGATGAGCGTGGAAGGAGGAGTGTATGAGGAGTGAGCGTGAAAGGAGAGTGTTAATGAAAGATGAGCGTGGAAGGAGGAGTAGTAGAGGATGAGTGTGAAAGGAGGAGTGTATGAGATGAGTGTGCGAAGGAAGGAGTGTATTGACGGATGAGCGTGAAGAAGGAAGAGTGTATGAGGATGAGTGTGGAAAGGAGGAGTGTATGAGGGATGACGGTGGAAGAAGGAGGTATGAGATGAGCTGTGAGGAAGAAGAGTAGTATGAGGTATGAGCTGTGGAGGAGGAAGAGTGTCAGAGGATGAGCGTCAGGAACAGGAGGAGTGTATGAGATGAAGCGTGGAAAGGAGAGGCTATGAGGACATGAGCGTGAGAAGGAAGAGGAAAGGAGCTAGAGAAGGAGAGTATACAAACTGTGCCTGGTCGTACACCCCCCGCCTACTTCCCGCCAGCACACGCTGCCGCGAGGGAATAGACATAAGCGGTTCAGCAGTTGCGCGCAGCCACACAAAGCTAAAATCAGCATGGTACAATATGCTTACTCAATTAGCGCACCTCGCGTACTCTCCCGTCCGTTCTGCCCCCACCTCCAGGCGCGCGTAGTGTGTAACACATAACGTTAGTAGAAGGAGACCCCCTCGTCACTCTACATAACTTGGTTACAGCTAAACTGCGAAAGGGGGTGCCGCGCGGTGGTATACATTGCTATAAATTAATAAGTCAAAAAAAACATGATGTAGGATGGCTGCAGGGCAGTGGTACAACAGTCAATGCTGTATGACCACACCAGATAGCCTGGTGGTTGTTGTTGTTGTTGTTGTGTTGCTTAGATAGTTGTTGCTGTGTTGTTGATGTGTTGGTGTCGGTGTGGTGGTTTGCTTTGCTAGGCTTGTTGGTTGTGTGGTTGGTTTAGGTTAGTGTTGTGTCTATTTTTGGTAAAGTGGTGTGTACGTCAGTTGTTTTTTGTTAGTTGTGTTGTGGCTGGGTGGATTGGTGTGATGTGTGCGTGGTGGTGGTGGTGGTCGGGGATGGTTGGTGAGTGTGGTGGTAGAAGGTGGTGTGGTTGGTGAGGTGCGTGGTGGTGATGTGTGGTGGTGTGGTGATGCTCGATAATGATGAATGGTGAGGTGATTGTTGTGGGGTGAAGAGTAGTGCGTGGGGTGGTGGGGTGAGGGGCTGTGTACCGACCAGTGTAACAGGAGTCGGTGGTCGAGTGATGACTCGATGGTGGTATAGTAGGGTGTGTGGTGTGGTGGGTGATGATTGGTGGTGGTGGTAGAGGTGTGTGGGTGGGTGATGGGATCGGTGGCCGGCTGATGGTGTGATGGTGTCTGCGGCGGCGAGGTGGTTGATGGTGTGGTGTAAAGGTTCGTCAGTTGCTATTCAGGGTGAGGGTGTGAATGGGTGTCTGGCGGCGGCGGTGGTGAGGTGGTGGTGTGCTCTGACGGTGGTGTGATGGTGTACGGTGGTGGTGGTGGATGATTGAGTGATTAGGATGGATGGTGTGACGTGGTTGCAATTGGAGATCTATCGGCGACAATTCTGACTGATGATGATCTGTAACGTAATATGATAAGACGCCTGAAGACGATGAACTGCCTACACTGCGCTAACTTGCGCGCCCCGCTCGCATAAGTGTTTAGATACGCGTCACCTTGCCGCCTGCGCAGCCAACTAGCCTGTGAACGGCACCCGCTCGCCTGCGCGCAGCGACAACACAAATACAACCGGTACCAATGCAGCGCGCCGGCTATGACCACAGACTTCTTCACCCCCTCAGATCTTCCCACATTCACTCCAGATACCACAGGCACCACTCGACGCATCATTCAGCGATATAAATAATACACAAATTGTTTGCTAACCAATGTCTTAAATGGTTTATCTACTTTCTTTCGAAGCTATTATATAATAATCCGCCGATGAAGATTCGGCAGACAACTACCTGCAACACATCAAATCACATGGCACGCCGCACACACTGGTCCACGAAACTCACAGAAAGAACCCCAACACTCTATCACAGCGCGCGAACTGGCAGTTACGGCTGTTACGTAGGAACCAACTATTAATCAAATCACATTTATAATTTTGGCGAAAGAAAGAAAAAATACATCAAACTTTGGTAAGCTTGCCATCATTTTAACTCAGGAAGTAAAAATAAGTATAAGGATATCCTATAGATATCTTACTCGCTGATTTTATACTGAACAGTTACTAAGTGCGCTCTAGGTTTAATCCGAGCGAGAGTGACCCACCCACACACAGCACCCTGCACGCTCGAGCCCACCGCCTTCGCTTATCGTGTATATGGCAAACACAATACTAGCTAAATAAAGAGCGGCAGCGAGCAAAGTAGAGGAAATAACCGAGAGAGAGAGAGAGAGAAACGAGAGCAAGAGAGTAGGAAGATAGAGAGAGAGTAGAGATGAAGAAAGCGAAAGAGAGAGAGAGAGAGAGAGTTGAGAGAGAGAGAGGCGAGAGAGAGGAGAGAGAGAGAGAGAGAGAGAGAGAAGAGAGAGAGAGAGGAGAGAGACGAAGAGCGTAGAGAGAGAGAGAGAGAAGTAGAAGAGAGAGAGAGAGAGAGAGAGAGGAAGAGAGACGAGAGATTGAGAGAGATGAGCAGAAGAATGAGAAAGAGAGACGAGAGTAACGAGAGAGAGAGAGAGGTGAATGAGAGATAGAGCAGAAGAGAGGAGAGGTAATGAGTAGAGAAGAGAGAGAGAGAGAAGAGAGAGAG